CCGTACGTTTTTTTGGGAGGCTACGTCTGCTACGTTTTTTTCTGAAAACGTGGGGAAGGAGTGGCATCGACGCACGTCACTCGCACGTCAATCGCACGATTGCGCAAGGTGTAAGAGTGTGGTCTGCACGCCACGTCTGGCCGTGAGCGGTTGCGTGTATCGTACGTTGCGCAAGTGGTAAGTGAGTTGTACGTGCTTATAACGTACGATCTATGTGCGATTTCAACTTTACCGTAAGGAGGCCGTACTCACACGTGCGTCTTTCGTACGGTACGTACGGGGCACGCGCGTCGCCCGTACTCGCAAGCACGGGTGGTGAATCCGCAGACCGCACGCAGAAAAAGTTTTACATGCATTGAAAGTTCTACGGCGTGTCTCCGTGCTCCCAAATCCGTAGGATTCCGTACGGAGGCGGTACTCACCACGCACGGATGCCCTGCATTTGCCAACGTTTTTGCACGTAGACAGCACGCAGAAGCACGTACGGCGGGTTGTGACCGAAGCTTAAGAGCGCACAGAGAAGGCACAACGGTCTCAGCAGTAATTTATGTTCCAAACATGGCGACCTTGGCGAGCTCTCGACGCTCTCTCCGCTCTCTGACCAATTTCAGTTCGCAGAGAGAGCGCCGTGCGAGCGCCGTCCTAGTGGATCTACGGGTATTATGGACATTTGCCAAATGGAATGCATACAGGCAGTTCAGTTGCTACAGATATAGAGTCATTTGCAGTCTATCATCTTAAAATCAGTAACTGTGAAAAGCCGTATTTGTAATTCCGCCCATAAGTGAATGAAAAACCACAGCAGCGGAATGAAATTACCTGGAGCGTAGCTCTTTCCGATGGCTCTGAAATTGTGGGGAGTGACACCAAATTTCAGGGCTCCTGCACAGAACACATTATTTGTGTGGTTATGAGGGCTTAGATGAGAATATTGCCCTGTGTTTACGGCATTACTGATCACAGTATGGAGTCGTTTGAGCCGTACACCAGGACTTTTTGACGAGCCATTCACTACTTCACATACATACAATGATACTGTTGTTGCACCTAAAACTGAAAGGTATCCAATGCAATTTCAGCTGCAAAATAGCTGCATTTTCCAAGCCAATTTTCTGGCCATTCTTTTAATGTAGTAAGTTGAATCAACCCAATCTTCTTCTTCTTCCTTTTAATGCCCACGATCATCAGACTAATCATTCTGGCATTGCCAATTCTTGGCAAGACTCCGGATTGTGGAATCTGTACCATCGCACACCGGGGCATGCCCGTACTCTTTTTCGAAAGGTGTGGTGGGATCTTTAACGTGCGTGGGGTGTCCAGTGATGTACCACTACACCGCACGACGCCACATACATACAATGATACTGTTGTTGCACCTGCAAAGTTTAAAGCATCAAATAGAATTTCAGGGTGGAAAAACACCTGCATTTTTCAAGTTCATTTCCTGGCAATTTTTTTAATGTAGTAAGTTGAATCAATCCTATTCCGTACCATACTAATATCTGTTACAAAAATTCAGTGTCACGGTAGTTTGTTTTGTATAGTAGGCTAGTTCTATCTATTTATGGGTGGTACCCAAAAATAAAGGGGTGCCTCGTGTACATTGTTTTGGAGATATTTCAGAAGCTTCAAGTATGAAATGATGATCAAATGTGATAAAAAATATCAGTAAATACCAATATATCAGACGGCTTTCCTCTTCCAAAATATTTTACTATATTTTATCTTATTTATTTTGCCGTCCTAAAATTCCCTTTAAGAAAAGAAAAAAAAACGCTAGGAAGACCGAACCGACTATTTATCATGGTCTGTATATCGTTGGAAACTTGTTTTCGTGAAAATTCTACTCCCTCTTTGCCTTCGGGCTGTTTATAAGATAATTCTAGATGGCAGGATAGCAGGGGGCTATTTTTCATTGAAGGCGGATCGCCCTATGGCCACCTGGGCGGCCAGATTGCATGGTAAAACGGTGTATAAATACTACGGCGTAAATTCCACTGCGATCCCCGGGTATCCCAGGTTACGTGGTGCCCGTGGGATAATGGTTTTCCCCGGCATAAAAGATGATGAAGTCCGGTCTATGACTGCCCGTCGTTTCACAGTGAAAGGCATGTCTTACTGTGTAAACCGCCTGTCAGTGGTGCAATCACTGCCCGGTACACGCGTACGGAGAGCATAATTTAGGCCATGTTGATATGATTCTATGGATGACATCCACGCTCGCATGAATTTTTCTCCGTTTCCTGAAAGGAAAGGTTTTCCACCATACTATAAATCGTACAAAGCAGCTGCAAAATGAGCAAATATATGCCGGAAATTACCAACAAAATGTACAATGGAAAATGCAAAATCAGTTCCAAATGAAAAGAAGAAAACGTGAAGAAATGAAAATGAAGAGCTTATTATTCGCCATACCATACGCTGTGTGTTTAGTCATTTGTTCAAACTTCATGACCACGTAGATTTGATAATGCAGGCAACTTTTTGTCAAACATTTTTAAAACATTTGTAACTAAGTAACGTTTGTCAAACATTTGTAACTATGTAACAACCTTTTGTGCACTATGCACCATGTAACATCTAGCGTCAGTGCACAGTAAACCAGTCAGAATTGCCCTGATAAAGATGACAGACGGCCATCGAAACTTCGGCTCGTGAAAAAAAATGTTTGAGGTCAAAGAACTTTGCTATTCATTTTTTAGATTTTTTTATTCGCACGCTCGCGTCAGTTTTGGGGTTCCCAGATGATGTCATCCATATAAGCAAATCAGCATGGCCTAATGTAAGCAACAGTTGATACCGCAGTAAAAGGTAATGTGAAAGGGGCTATTCAGGCTGAATAATTCCCCGTCGTGAGTCTCCCAAAACCTTAATAGAGCCTCAATTATCACCAAAACGTCAATTCGGGGGGGGGGTATATAAATGGGGAGCATTTCGCCGACGAATGGCCGGAAGATCACACGGTATGATTGGACGAACGAATCCGGATGTTTTAGAAACGGTTCACGGCACGGCATGTGAGGACTTTGTGCCCACAATTTCCGCGTAATCCATGGCGTCGATATCTGAATGCCTCCTTAGTCAAAGGCTTAGGTCACAGCAAGTAAATTTTATGGATCGTCTGGCGTGTGGCGTAGCGGCAGAGTGCTCGAACCAAGAAGTCCCGGGTTCGAGTCCTGACATGCCACCGATCTAGTGCCATTGGGAAAGGCACTTTACACGACTTTCCTCACCACAGGTGAAACTAAGTATTGTATTGTCCCCTGTGTTGGTGGCGGCATTAATATAAGTTGAAAAAAAAACATGCCGTCACCACGTCTTGTGACTACATGTTGGAATAAAAAAAAATTAATGCACGCTGGCGCAAACCCAAAAAAGTACTTACTATGGCCTTACTCAGTTGTTTATGGTATACCTTCAGAACTGTCCATGGCATGGCCAGCAGGCTTAGCTGTAGTATAAATAAACGGCACGCGTGCCCGTGTCTGAAACATACATTCTCCTGCCATTCACAAGACAGAGCATGTTGTTTGTAGTCTCCGCCAGACTAATTAAAAGAGCGTGGGCTGAGGCCAAATAATTTGCGAGGGTACGTTGATGTATATGAGACATCCAGGTAATGAGATACCCAAAAAACAACAACTGTTACTCAAGCAACTGACTAGATTTTGAAAACTGTCAGTCAAGATCCTACCAAATAAAAAGCAAAGTAGTTTGGCAACCTTAGAGTTCACTTTCCGGATAATTATCAGTATGTAAATATTACTCTCACCTTAGTCTACTTCCCTGGCCAATTAATCAATATTCACCCTATTTTTCATAGCTCATCTGGTAGAGTGCTCGCTGTGTAACCGGGAGGTCGTGAGTTCTAACCCCGGCCGGGTCATACCAAAGACTTTAAAAATGGTACACACTTCTTTCTCTGCTTAGCACTCAGCACATATGAGAAAGAGTGTGAGAAGGTCAAACACACAACACTACCAGCGGACCAGCCCCCTGCTGTAGTGTCCTGCACAACTGTGTGTCGCCCAAGGGCTACGTACGGAAATGGAGATGGGCACCACCCTACGCTCTGCATAAGGACACGGGAAACCTTTCTTCCTGTCTTTCTATGTTCGCCGAATTTTACTATCCATATAACCATTTAGAAAGGCCTGGCGGATGCTATGTTCTTTGATGGGAGAAGACATCTGTTCTGGTATCCAATATTAAGCACTTGGATGTAAAGACGACTTCAATGATATATAGTTATTTAAAGGTACTATTGAACTGCCATGCACAGATGTAGTACGGTCCTTATGTATTGTGAAATTCTATGCAATAATTTTCCATACTGCACCGGTACTAACGACCTATTCTAACCATACGCCATATGCCACCGACTTGGAAAAAACTAGTCTCTACCAGACTAACTACGCTGGCTATATATATAGGAGAATATTTGCCAGGGGAGTTTGGCCGCCTTGTAGGTTTGAATGGCCGCGGAGGGAAAGAAACTACCTCCCCGCGGCCGGACTCCCTTGGCCAATTTTACTCTCTTTTTTGCCGAATTCTACGATCCATATTCCCGTAGAAAGGCCTGGTGGAGGCTAGGAAAAAACAGCTTGGATGCCAGATCCCGGATCGACAAAATACTCCATTTGGCTGGGGGAAAACCACAAGAAGATCCGATCCCAGAATTTGCACCTGGTGGTCTAACTAGAATGTAAAAATTTCAGAGCCGAGGAGCTAGCCTGTCAGAAAAATCATAAAATCTTTGTTGTAGTACTTGTTTAAAATTTTAATGCTCCCATTTTAGATTCAAGCTCAGAAGAGGAGCTGTAAGACCTGCAAATAGGTTTTGTTTCATATGGTCCCCCCCCCCCCCCCCCAAAAAAAAAAACTTGTGCACCTAATGTTTTTACGTTGGGTGCACCAGTGCACCTAGTCCCAAAAATGGATTTCGAGCCATGGAAAAAATGTAACATAGAAATGTAATTCTCCGTGACCAGCGCGCCTACCTTGAATGAAGTTGTTGAAGCGGCACATGAAGTCCCCGAAGATCCAGTTGGGTATCATGCTCTGGACCAGATGGATCCACATGCAGAACAGGGCTATGAGCAGGTCTGCTATGGCCAGGTTCATGATGTAGAAGTTGGTGGGCGTCCACATGGTCTTGTTGAGAGACACGATGAGGATGACGATGGGGTTGCCGACGAGAGCCATCAGTAACAGCAGGGAGTACACCACGATCTTTATCGTCACTTCTGCGGTGTCAGGATGCTCGTACCCCGGGTAGGGGTAGTACCGGGGAGTCGGTGCGGTCCCGTAGCCGAAGGTTGAGTTTTCCTCCCACGGCGGAGACCCTGTGACGGTCATGTTGGGGTACAGCGACACCCAGGTCGAGAAGTTCAGGTAGGGGCTGATGGTTGACATCAGCATCTTGCCACCGCGAGGTTTCGGCGAGGCTACGGCGGCAACGAACAGTTACAACCGGCTAGTAGAAACCAGCAGTCCTAACGTAAAGAACCGGCAGTATATATATCTACAACATTCATAAAATGTACACTAGTACTGCGGTGTGGATTGAGAAAAATGACAGCCCCACATACAGGAAATTGGACGGTAGGATTGAGAGGAATTTGACCGGACGGAGCGCAAGGATTGTGATGGAAAGAGCGATTGTCCCGACTGCTCCTGTCGACAACCCTTAACTCTGACTGGCAGCGCAAGCCTGGCGTACGTACCGCCTTCTCCTAAAGACGTTAGCGGCAAAAGGTACTCAGTTATTCATTCACGTCACCATGGATATGTACGTATACGCCTGGTGTTTGAAGTCGGTCGTCCATTGTATATATGAATAATTAGGCCATGTTGATTGGATTACATGGATGACATCCACTGGGAACCACAAAACTGATGCGAGCGTGCAAATAAAAAAGAAGTTGACAAAAAAGTCGCCTTCATTATGAAATCTACATGGTCATGGAGGTTGAACAAATGACTAAACACACAGAGTATGATATGGCGAATAATAGACTCTCCATTTTCATTTCTTCACATTTCCTTTTTTTCACCTTCAGGATTGGTTTTGGCAGTGTACGATCCAGTAATTTTTTTTATTTATGGCATAAAATTGCTCATTTTTCAACTGTATTTACGTACGATTTACAGTATGTTCGAAATTGTTGGCAGTCTACGACATCAGTATCGTTTTACATTACTCCATTTTTTTTTAATTTATGGCATGTAATTGCTCATTTTTCAATTGCTTTGTACGATTTACAGTATGGTCGAAAACCTTTTTTCTGGAAACGGACGAAAATTCATGCGTGCGTGGATGTCATCCATATAATCAAATCAACATGGCCTTACCAGAGCCCGCAAATTAGTCTTTATGCTGACGATAGGACCATTCACGTATTGACGTAAACTATTCACAATGCTAACAGATTGTCTCAAACGTCGAATGCTTTTGTGAACGCACGTATTATATAAATCGCGAAGTTAATGGACCATTTGGTAATCATACGTCTGTGTTATACATTAAACAAATGAGACACCCAGTGCGGTAAAGCACATGTCCTTTTGAAAATAACGGTAATGCCCCGGGCCAAGTCACGAATCACACGTGCGTAGTATTATCGTAAATCAATGATTTGTTTGAAAGGTCCCCGAAGGTTGCTAGTAGAAGTTTGAAAATTACGAGCGGAAGAGATGAGCAAGGAAGGTCATGGTTTTTGAGGTATAGTGGGACAGTAAAGTAATATAAGACGCTTCTCACGGGGAAGAAGTACATATGTAAGACTTTAATTAACAAGAGTTCGGAGATCTCAGACCTCCATGAAATCATAATGGTTACATCTTTCACATCTTTTTAGGAGGGGTTGAAAATCTCTCATGCACGATACCCATGTTTTTTGATGTAATTTTTATTTTATGTCTAGTGGTGACGTGAATATAATAAGCATATTGCTTGAGTGCGTCACTACTATGTATTGTATTTGTTGCATGTTTAGATTTTTAAAAAATCTCTCATAAAATTAGGGCTTCTAGACAACTACGTGACAACTACATGATTCGTTTTCAATCTCCTTTTGCAACCCCTTTCTTTAAAATTCAAGGGGAAATACCAGCTGTCAAGGAGGTCATGTAACTAAAAACAGCGAGCGCTACTACATGTAGAGGTCATTCATGACTTACTCCGTCTACGACAGACTGAACCCAATTATATCCATAACAAAGAGAGATAGGGAGAGATAGATAGATAGAAAAATATATGTAAAGATACGGCCATTCTTGCCAGACCTAGAGGTAGACCAAGATTAGAGACCATGGCAGCTGAGTGCAGACCTAAAGTACAGTGGGTCGCGCCCTAGCCACAACTTGACAGAGAGCGCAGGACAGAAATGACTGGGAAACAGCTTGGCGAGGCGCCACACAAGCGATGATGAGTGAGTGAGTCGATTTTCCACTTGTGTAGGTGAAGGCCGTCACCTTGATCACACGTAAAGGTAAAGGCTGAAGACGTGGATGCCCGACACATCTTCTCATGCTTCGGTCCCAATTGAAAAAGGGGCCCTGCCGGGTAGTCCCCGGGCTGTTTTTGGGCACTTTCGGGCGTGACCCCTACGTGGCCTCGCGGGACACCCTGCGGCTACCGGGCTATTTTTGGGCCCGTCCGGGACCCGAGAAAAATTTAATTCTGACTTAAATTCTACCCCAGCCCCACTGACAAAAGGACGCCGTGACCTCACCGTGAGAACACCGACAGGTACCCCTCCGGTTGCCGGCAGTCCGACCGAGGCAGGCGGGGCTACATCCCCGACGGGCACCGGCGCAATTGGGACTGAAGCTTTAATTAGTAAACTATTACAGCCATATACAACAGTTTGATATACCCCTACCTAATATACGGGAATATTGTCTAGGGATATGGGCCTATAAAACAACCCTGCAGCCCCTAGTATTACTCAAAAAAAGATGTGTTCGTTCAGCCACTGGCTCCAGTTTTCATGCAACTTCCGCCCCTCTTTTTACAAAGCTTAGGATTTTGAATATTCATGATATAAATATATTTGTATTATTTATCAATTATAATGTATAATGTATCATTCAATTTTTGTTGTCGGGGGAAGTCACGGACTGGCCATAACGGCCCTTTATCTTCCTCCCGCATATCTCTTTTGTTTATGATTATGTTAATTGTATTTCTCTGATTATATGCAAATAAACAAACAAACAAACAAACACAATACTCCCTTCTGCTGGAGGAACCCACTAGCCCCAACCCCAAAATTGGGGTCGTGTGACGTAGCGGCAGAGTGCGCGACTCGGAACTAAGAGTCCCGGGTTCGAGTCCTGACATGCCACCGATCTTGTGCGCTTGGGAAAGGCACTTTACACGACTTTCCTCACTTAGCTCAGGTGTAAATGAGTATTGTCCTGTCATGTAATTTTCCCTAGTGTTGGTGGCGGCATTAATATAAGTTGAAAAACTTGAGTGTGTCGTCACCACGTCTGGTGATTACATGTTGGAATTTAAAAAAAATACAACCTGGGGGTCTAATCTATCTCTCGAGCTTAGAGTCTGATGAGGGCGTGTCTATGGTAAAATTTTCGCAGTGGAAAAGCTAGCCTGTAGACCGCCCCTGGCAACAGGGTTAAGGTTGGGTCAAGCAATTCTCCCAAATTGGGACCAAGCCGTGTGCAGCGCACCAGATCACAGTACTTACGTCCCTTCATGATGGCCATTAGCTATACACTCTGCGTCTTGATTCAATTTTCAGCCGCTGGCTGTTTTGGTCATTTCGTGGGGCAGATAGCCATAAGCCCCAACAGAATGGCCAGCAAGGTAATTACGATTCTAACTAGACCCCCAGGAGACGGAGTGCATTTTTATGGTCAACCTTCCTCTCCAACTGCCATGATCCTTTTTTTTTATTTTAGTGACCAAACCGTAATTTCAACGATAGCCTTCAGCGGGAGAAGTATGTTTTACGATTAATGAGGCTGCATCATAATATCCTTTGCAAAGAAGATTATGTTTTTGGTGGCGTTTGTATGTGTGTGATTTAGCACAATAACTCAAGAAGCTATGGATGGATTGTCATGAAACTTTGTAGGTGGGTAGGTCTGGATAGAGACCTCCAAATGGTTAGATTGTGCGAGCACTCTGGCAGATTTTTCTTGTATTCTTGTATTTTTGACGAGCGGCAAATGTAGACAATGGTGCATATTAACTTCCTATACTCAACGATTCTGTACTGTTATGATAACAAAGATTTTTGAACAAGTTAATATTGAAATACAGTTTTTATTTTAGTGACCAAACCGTAACTTCAACGATAACCTTCATCGTGAGAAGTGTGTTTTACGATAAATGAGGCAATGTGATTACATCATATTTAATATCCTTTGCAAAGAAGGTTATGTTTTTGGTAGCGTTTGTATGTGTGTGGTTTGCACGAAAACGTAAGAAGAAATGGATGGATTGTCATGAAACTTTGTAGGTGGGCAGGTCTGTATATTGACCTCCAAATGGTTAGATTGTGCGAGCACTCTAGCAGATTTTTTTCTTGTATTCTTGTATTTTTTACGAGCGGCAAATATATACAATGGTGTGTATTAAGGTCCTGTACTCTACAATTCTGTACTGTTATGATAACAAAGATTTTTGAGCAAGTTAATATTGAAATACATTTTTTATTTTAGTGACCAAACCGTAACTTCAACGACAGCCTTCATCGTGAGAAGTATGTTTTACGATAAATGAGGCAATGTGATTGCATCATAACATCCTTTGCAAAGAAGGTTTTATTTTTGGTAGCGTTTGTATGTGTGTGATTTACCACGATAACTCAAGAAGCTATGGATGGATTGTCATGAAACTTTGTAGGTGGGTAGGTCTGGGTAAAGACCTCCAAATGGTTAGATTGTGCGAGCGCTCTAGCAGATTTTTCTTGTATTTTTTACGAGCGGCAAATATAGGCAATGGTGTATATTAACTTCCTGTACTCTACTATTCCGTACCGTTATGATAACAAAGATTTTTGAGCAAGTTAATATTGAAATACAATTTTTATTTTAGTGACCAAACCGTAACTTCAACGATAACCTTCATCGTGTGAAGTATGTTTTACGATAAATGAGGCTGCATCATAATATCCTTTGCAAAGAAGATTATGTTTTTGGTAGCGTTTGGATGTGTGTGGTTTAGCACGATAACTCAAGAAGCTATGGATGGATTGTCATGAACCTTGGAGGTGGCTAAGTCTGGATATTGACCTCCAAATGGTTAGATTGTGCGAGCGCTCTAGCAGGTTTTTTTTGTATTTTTGTATTTTTTTTATACGAGCGGCAAATATAGACAATGCTGCATATCAACTTCTCGTACTCTACGATTCCATACTGGAATCGTAGAGTACAAGAAGTTGATATGCAGCATTTGCAGTTATGATACTGTTATGATAACAAAGATTTTTGAGCAAGTTAATATCAAAATACAATTTTATACCTGGTAGTAAATGATATACGTTCTTTTTCCTTGTAATAATTG